GGACTAGAACAATGATTCCAGTGGTAGCAGATAAGCTAAAGCCCAAGACGGTGGATGGTGCAAGAGACAGACTTCTTGCACGGAAAGAGAAAGAAACTTTCTACTACAATCAAAAAGCAAGAAAAAATGAGTTGGGTGAATTGAAGAAAGGAGATAATGTAAGACTAAGACCTACAGGAGATGCGACCACGTGGTCAAAAGCAACTGTAGAAGATAAAGTGAATATAAGATCTTATCGAATCAGAACAGAAGATGGAAGGAAATACAGGAGGAACAGACGAGATTTGAGAGAGTCTGGAGAAAGGATGTATGTGGGTCAAGAGGAGGATTTTATGCCAGTGACAACTGAACCATCAGTTGATGGTAACATTCATGATATGGGAAAGGAAGTGCAGGTACAGACATCTGATGACACTAAAAATCCAGCACAACCCAATGTGAAGACTACCAGGAGGGGCCGAAAAGTTAATATTCCGTCACGTTTTAAAGACTACCAGATGGCCAGTGAGTGATCGATTGCCAGGCCAGTTGTTATGGAATGTTTATGGACATTTAATGATTTTTTTTGTGTTTATTGTTAAAGTTAAATGTTTAATCTGGGACAATGTTTTGTCCAACACGTCATTACTAATAGGAATGACCACAGAATTATAAGATTTATTGTTCATATGTTCATGTTGTTGAGTTCAAATAAATAAATAAATGAATGAATGAATGAATGAATGAATGAATGAATGAATGAATGAATAAATGAATAAATGAATGAATGAATGAATGAATAAATAAATAAAAGTAAACATTGATTCTTAAATCTCAAACAATGGTATCTGTGATTATAATTAAAAAAAAAAAAAATAATAATAATAATAATAAAAAAAAAAAAAAAAAAAAAAAAATTTGAAGAGGGATGTAACGATATGTTAAAGAACGTCATGTAGAGGGCGCTTGTCGTTGTCAAGGACCGCACGTTGAATAAAGATGTTGAAGTTATAGTCCGTGTCAATCTGTTTATTTAATTTGTTCTATCAACGTTAAAAGACGTTACAACCACTACAGGACAAGCTACCCCTGACTTTTTCGTCTGAGATACACAGCAACAACACATGGACAGGCCAGGCCTTTATTCCATTATCCTACATACCTCTAGGCCCTCATAAATTCAATGCTTTTGCTATCCATGGTGTCGGGAGTGGTAGGACCTACGAGGCTCTGTATCCAGCTCCACCGGGAATGTACGACACACCTGATTTGTGAGTCACATATTCTAAACTTCTGATAAATTTTATCGCAAATTATTTATTTTGATGTTATATTGTGTGTGAAGCTTGATCAGATTATCAAATATTCTTTGACAAAAAACTTTTTATGCCCATATATGGTGAAGATGTGCCTATAATTATATGGTCATGATGTTCCTATATACAGTCATGATGTGCCTATATATGGTCATGATGTTCCTATATATGGTCATGATGTGATGTCATCATGACCATATGGTGGGCTGAGAGGTATTGTTCCTGCTTCTTGTGCTTAAGACCCCGGTTCAAACCCGGCCAGCGTTGGGTTTTAATTCAATTGGTAGTAAGAACACTTGACTCATCGAATAACCCTCATAATTGAGAGTTAGACCAGTTAAGGACAATGTTTTTAATTGCAGTCTGAACACTTGGCTTCTTGAATAACCCTCATAATTGAGAGTTAGGCCGGTTAAGGACAATGTGTGTATCCGTTTGTGTCTGTTATGTTGAGTTTGGGTGGCGCTGCATTGCAGCTGCTGCCAGGGGGTCCCAGGGGCCTTGCTGGAATTTCCGACTTCCAATTTGAATGAGGACCAATAAAGAATTATTATTATTATTATTATTGTTATTATTATGATGATGACCATATTTAGGCATGTCTTATGTTTGTCAAATAAAATGGTCAAGGCTTTAATTCAGCTGCCTTTCCTTAAACTCATTACTACTAGTTCAAGTCATTTACTATTGGGAAATATTTTGTCAAATGTGATGTCACATGCCTAAATATGGTCATGATGACTATATGGGCATAGCTGTGCGATGATGATGGCAGACGTCAGTAACTAGTTTCTCTTCATTCTCTTTCGCAGCCACAGACTCCATCTATTCCAAGATATTCCTCAAGATTTTCTACTTCATGAACACATAGCATCTGAATGGTCATCTTTATTTACATCACTATAGCAACAAGTTTGTGTTATATCGAAACAAACCAATCACAGGAGACAGTACTAATTAAAGAATATTTTATTTTTAATAGGCCTACATATGATTACATCATGCATAAAATAAAGAGCACTTAGCTTTAGGTAAAAATGTGATTAAAATAATGTCCATAAATGTTGTTCACCATTTCAAGTATATTAGTTATTAATAATCATTTGTTAAATAAAATTATAAGAATCCTAACACACTATTTTATTATGATGTTAGTAAAAAGTGTTAAAAATATAAACACTGCAGTATAACACACACAAGTGACAACTTGATAAAGTCCCAGCTAAAATGAAATTGCAAAAATTCATTGAATTAGAGTACAGTAATACAAAAATCTATAAATTTTCTGGCATAAATTTAACAAATATTATAAAAACTATATAATTATCTGCTAATAAATATAAACAAATGTATAGCTGAAAGCTACAACACTCATACAAAGGTTCTTCATTGGTTGAGCCATCTCCTCTCAAGTATGGCAATAGAGGGAATCAGTGATGGGCGTCACGTGACCTAACTTTTTGGATAACAATCGATTGACACAGTGGTGTTTTACAAGGAGATTGCTATTGCGGCCGTCCCTTGTTATTGCTGTAAAGATCATCATAATTACCAGTAAACTATACAAAACCGATTGAAAAATTTGCCTTAATGGTTTGCTAATGCTAATCAACGTCCGGGCCAGTTTATTCAAATTGGCATACAATTATAACGACCAGCATCCTCTGACCTATTGACACAGTCAAACCCAGCACACGGAATATACTCCTCAAGAGGGCCAGATGAGGGGAAGGGAATTTAGTTGAATCATAGTGTTAATTTGATTTACTAATAAAGCAGATATAGCGGTATTCAATAATTTTTTTCACTCATTTTTTGAAGCTGTGGCACATCTGATGATCAAGCTCCCGATTCTAATGGATAACCTTTCCAGTAATTTGAAATAGAGCTGGGCCCAGAGAGGGACTTTTACAGATGTAGAGTGTAGTTGGACTACCATTTCAGCTCCACCATGGTTGGGGCTGAGGTAAGAAAATTTATGATTATGACACCTCTAGATTGCCTGAAATGGCACTCTCAGACCTAAATTCTAATTCTAATTTTCCTTTGTTTTTTTTTTTCCATTTAAAAAAGATAATTTTGAAAAAATTAGGGCCGGCTCGGCCCCACTTGAATCTGCTAGTGATTATTATGGCGTCATTGCGAGACTGCGTCAACGTAACACTGGAGTTTGTAAACTTTTGGTAGGTTTATCACTTAATCGAAATAGGTAGATATCATATCCGTGAAATTAGAAAAAACAGTAATCCTATGTATGTAGATAATGTTAAACAATACGTACGGGTCATAATAATATACAAAAAGAATAAATTATTTATATTAGAAATTGTGCACTTTTGAGTTTGTAAAAATATTGGCCTAATAAGGATACATGCTTCCAATTTCAACAACGTTCAGTACATTGTTTTCACAATAAATTTAGCCTCTGATAGTCGTTGCACCCATACAATCGATCTAGTGGGTTTCTGAGATTGTTACAAAATGTTTAAACAATTGAGTTTTTATTCGGTTTTGGTCGGGAAAATTCGCTTGTAAAAGTGGGGTTTTAATTATAGAAGATTGGTGAAAAGTGGGCGAGGGGGACAATCGATACCATGTCTCCCCCCCCCCCCCCCCCCCCCACAAAAAGGGGATAGGCAAAAGCAGCTTTCTTAGCTACGTTTTTTGTCCGTTGATCGGTTAAAAAACGTATTTCATTTTTATTTTATCACTGAAAAACAACTACTGTAAAATGTTTAGCCCATAAATATGATGTGTGTGAAGAAAATATTAAACAATATTTTACTTTGGAACTTCAAAAAGCAGTTAAAAAGAAATGGCTATGAAATTTTAGTGGGGGCTAAAGCCTGTTAAGCCCCCCTCTAAATCCGCCCCTGCTTAAGAATTTCTTGATATTCCTTATTTGATTCCAATAAAATATGTACTTGGCAACAGGCCTGGGATGGATGCATAGGCCTACGGCTCCCCCAAATTACAAGGGGATGGGGAGGGGTACGGGTGCGTACGGCTCCCCCAAATTACAAAAGGTCCACATTTCCTGGTGTAGAAAATTCAAGACACACTCTCACGTCCACCAAAAATGCTTGCCTAATCAGAGCAGTCTCCAACTAGGACTCCCTCTAATTTGTCGTACAAGCAAGACTTTCTCATTATTTACCTGTAAAAGCCCTACTCTTTCAAATATCCAGAGGTGACGGAACTAGGGGGTGCTGTGTTATGGAGAGTAATGTGTGACCGGAAATGGTCTGCAGTCAGTTGGTTGTTACCATGCGCCAGTGATGTTGAGTATATAGTACAGCAATATGAAACTATTATATAGGTCTAATGAATGAATAAAGTTTGGAGTTTGTCGGAGTAGTGAAATCATTATTTCACATTTTAAGTGCTCCCTAATTGTAAGTGTAAGCTAAATTACGGTGATTAATTTAATTAGTGAAGATATGGAGACAATTATTTCGAATCCCTCTTTCCAAGAGGGGATGCAAATGAATTGTGAAAATGAGTACGCCGCGGTACTCATTTTCACAAAGAAATACACATAACTTGTTAGCTAACAATTATGTCAATGTTACATGAACACCTGGGAAGGAAGGTGCAATCACGTTGTTACCTACTGTAGCAAACGTCTGTACTGTATGGGGGAGGGGCTGCTTATGTACTGTGTAGCGGGGGACGACGAGGCATAAGACTATACCTAGGCCTAACCAATAGGCATAGAGTTTCTCTATGGCCTAACTAAGACAGTGGAATTATATGTGATAGAAAGTACACTTTCGGAAGAAATAGATTAAAATAAGAAAAGAAAAAAAAAATAACTAAGAATAATTCATTTGCAGAGGTACCTTATTTAAGTATTATACAATGCTAACAATGCGGCTCTTGTAGCCCTGGCTTGGGCAAGGCATCCATGTGCAAAGCAGTGGTGTTTGTTTATCCATGAAAAAAGCACGCCGGGAAAGTTTGCCTTTCCAGGAAAAGGTGACGTATCTAGCTTATGACGTATGCATGCGAACTAGCGTGAGTGTGACGTCACCAAAAAAATGAATATTTTCTATTATAACCAAAATATTAATAACCAAAGTTTCTGGGCGTAAATTCCCTTAATATGAATGAAGGGTTGCTCAATCTCCTTGCCATACAAATTAAAGCTCCCACTGATGGCGCAGTCGAGAAATACGGGTAGCTGAAGTTTTTCTCGCAAATCTGACTACAAAACCATATCCAAATTTCACGTTCCACTTTTGTTTTTGACCCTGAGTTGTGCTTCGCACTCGCCGCTGACGGCGGCGTTCCGGGAACCCTGCGTCCAGCCTCGATTTCAAGTCTTCTAAAAGCCCTCTATATTACATCCAACGTCGCTTTACAACTTTTATCTACACGGCCAAACAAACATTTAATTCAATTCTTTCAACCATCATTACACATTGAGGCACTCCTTGTAAGTAAAACGACCTATCTTAAATTTTATTTCTTTAGTTTGTGACTTTGTCTTTAAATAACGTAGAACTTCCATATCACTGTTAAATAGAATAATTGAGCGTTGTGAGTGTGACAGATTTTTATTACTGTATTTGTCCATGTTCATATACAAGAGTTGCAGGATATGGTCTTCTAAAAGCCCTACTCTTTCAAATATCCAGCCTCGATTTCAAGTCTTCTCTGTCGCCCTCTATATTCCATCCATCCAACATCCGCCAGTCAATCATAACTTCCACAATCGTAATCAATGATTTCATTCAATCTGTCAACCATCCCTACACATTCAGGCACTTCTTGTAAGTAAAACGACCATTGTTATCTAGAGGCCAACCTAAGATTTAATTCAATTCTTTCAACCATCACTACACATTGAGGCACTTCTTGTAAGTAAAACGACCTATCTTAAATTTTATTTCTTTAGTTTGTGACTTTGTGTTTAAATAACGTAGAACTTCCATATCACTGTTAAATAGAAGAATAACTGATCGTTTTGAGCGTTGTGAGTGTGACAGATTTTTATTACTGTATTTGTCCATGTTCATATACAAGAGTCGCAGGATATGTATGTATATACATATATATATTTATTTAGGAAATTATTTCATGTCCCCTGTTAAAATGTATATAGGCCTATATATATATATAATTAAAATGTATATAGGCCTATATATATATAATTAAAATGTATATAGGCCTATATATATATATATATATTAAGCAATTAATATACTGCGTATATATATTTAACAATTGATTGTTTGTGATATATATATATGTATAGCAATTAATTGTTTGTTGTAAGTGATACAAACATGTCATATATATATATATATATAATATTAATAGAGACATTGATAAAATCAACGAAACGGGTGATACATATATAATCAATGAAACGGGTGATATATATATATATATATATATATATATATATTTGACCCCCAACGTATCTAGGCCTAACTAACGGCTTACACTACCTATCCATCGTCCCCACTCTGTCGACAGTATAGTTCCGTGCTAGCATATACCTAGTATGTTGGCCTTCTCTTTAGCATAATAAAAATCATAATACATATAATACTCCAGTTACATCCTCGCTATTTCAAGTCTTCTAAAAGCCCTACTCTTTCAAATATCCAGCCTCGATTTCAAGTCTTCTCTGTCGCCCTCTATATTCCATCCATCCAACATCCGCCAGTCAATCATAACTTCCACAATCGTAATCAATGATTTCATTCAATCTGTCAACCATCCCTACACATTCAGGCACTTCTTGTAAGTAAAACGACCAATTGTTATCTACAGGCCAACCTAAGATTTATTTAATTCTTTCAACCATCACTACACATTGAGGCACTTCTTGTAAGTAAAACGACCTATCTTAAGTTTTATTTCTTTAGTTTACTTACTTTATTTTAGCATGTCTCGTAAAATAACCCAATTTAAGCATATATATATATATATATATATATATACAGGACTACATTCGTTGCAAGCTATGCAACACGATGTATTATTATGTCCTTTATTCGAACACTGTATTTACCTTTCTTTGATCATTTATGTAGACCTATATATATATGTATGTATATGTATATATATTTCTTTATTTTTAAATTTATATATATATATATGTATAGCAATTAATTGTTTGTTGTAAGTAATACAAACATGTCATATATATATATATAATATTAATAGAGACATTGATAAAATCAACGAAACGGGTGATATATATATATATATATTTTTACAATATTTTGCCTACCGATCCTACTAATGATTATCATAATGATTTACTTGATTTAATGTCTAAGCTCGATCATGTTGATGTTAATTTTTATGATTTCATCCCACAGGAACCTAAACCCGGCCTTTTTTACACTATCCCCAAGCTACATAAATTAGGGTCTCTTGTTAGCAAGGCCTTGATGTCAGGCTCTCATCCCACTCGCTTCTCTCCCACTATCTTAAAATCCCCCCTCATCTTCGATATTGCCAAGTCGTTATCTATAACCCCTCCTGGTAGACCTATTGTCTCTTGCCGTGGTACACTCACTGAATTTTTGTCTGGATATATTGATTCTATTCTCAACCCCCTACTCTCCAATATCCCCAGCTATATTCAAGATACCACCCACTTCCTCAGATAATTCGAATCTATTTCCACTCTCCCCCAAGATGCTATACTTGTTACTATGGATGTGTCATCACTCTATACTAACATCCCTCACAACGAAGGCATCCAAGCTTGCTCCGATTTTCTTCTCACTCATTCATTTTCCACTGATGCCGTCTCTGATTTATCATCCATCATCAAGTTCATCCTAACCCATAACAATTTCACATTCAATGGTAAGCACTATTTACAGATTCAGGGTACGGCCATGGGTACTAAGATGGCCCTTCATACGCCAATATTTTCATGGCCAACATCGAGCACAAACTCATATCATCCTTCCCTCTTAAGCCCCTTCACTACTCACGTTACATTGATGATATTTTCTTCATATGGACTCATGGCCACGCCTTCACTGATTTTATCACTCATGCTAACAGCTTTCACAATACCATTAAGTTCACTGTTGAACTATCTGACTGCCAAATACCCTTTCTTGACGTCCTCGTTAAATGTTCTAACTGCACTATCAGTTCTTCACTTTATGTTAAACCCACTGACTGTCACTCCTACCTTCACTACTCCAGCGCTCATCCTAAATCGCTGAAGTCCTCTATTGTTTATAGTCAATGCCTTAGAATAAAACGTATCTGCTCGGACCCCCTTGACTATGCTCACCATATTCAAGCTATTACCTGTAAATTTCTCACTGCTGGCTACCCCCTCAAATTAATCAAGTATCAGATACAGAAAGCCCACTCTAAACCTCGCAATGACCTCCTCCAGTACAAGCCGAAGCTCTCTAACAATAATC